GGATTGGGTGGAGTTGGGTTGGATTGGGTTGAGTGGAGTTGGGTTGGCTGGGGATGAGTTGGGTTGGGTTGAGTTGAGGTGGGAATGAGTTGGGTTGGATTGGGTAGAGTTGGGTTGGATTGGGTTGGGTGGGGATGAGTTGGGTTGGGTTGAGTTGAGGTGGGATGAGTTGGGTTGGGTTGAGTTGAATTGAGGTGGGATGAGTTGGGTTGAGTTGAGTTGAGGTGGAATGAGTTGGGTTGGGTTGGGATGAGGTGGGTTGGGTTGAGATGAGGTGGGATGGGTTGGGTTGGGATGAGTTGGGTTGGGTTGAGATGACGTGGGATGGGTTGAGTTGGGTTGGGATGAGTTGGGTTGGGTTGGGTTGCGATGAGTTGGGATGAGTTGAGTTGGGTTGGGTCTTGTGGAGCGAGTTGACCTCTTGACTTTACAGAACAGACTGATTACAGTCTCTGCAAAACCAGGCTGAAAAAGGCACTGAGCCTGTCCCATACCCTGTCCTGTAACTCTCTGCCTCTGTCTCTCTTGCAGTCATCTTGCATTATGCTGTCATTGTCGAGATGTTCTTCATCAGTATGTTGGCCCGTTACTGCTTCAGGAAGGTGGAGCCAGACGAGAACTCTGCCGATAGCTTGTCCAAACCCAGTTCCCACAAGTCCAACCAGACTGCTTTTGCTGGCCGCGATGGTGGCTCTCCTGAACCAGACAGTTTCTCGCTGGGGGTTAACCCAGGTTACAGCAGTGACACTGAGGATGCCCCGTACAGGATTGAACACGCTCCCTTGGACAGATTTGACTTCAAGGCGGCAAAGAAACCGGTTCTGGACAGTTGCTTCATTTCGGTGCCTCTGAGTGAAAGGGACGAAGCTGTTCGGGGACCAAGCAGCACTCAGTATGAAGCTCCTGTTCTGGACGCTGAGCCTGTTACTGTGAACACTGTTCAAGTGCGAGCACAGATTAACCACCAGCAATCCTCTAAAGATATGATGATGGTCTAAAGCTTTGGCCCTGTGTAACAGGATGAAGGATGTTGCTCCATGCTGGAAATGCTTAGACTATCCCGCTTCCTGGGCACGGTTCCTCTCCTGTGTGGAGTCACCCTGTGCTTTCGCGAGCAGAAGTTCATGCCAGGCAATGTTGACATCCTGCCGCACGAACAGTTGGCACCATCTTGGGTTACCGGGACTGGAGGGTTGAGTACAGGGGTTGGGACATCATGTTGCTGCTGTACAAGGTGTTTGGCGGGACCACATTCGGAGGACTGCATACAATTCTGGTCACCCTGCTATAAGAAGGATGTTATTAAATTGGAAAAGGGCGCAGAAAAGATCTTATTGAGACCGGAGGGTTTGAGTTTTTAAGGAGAGGCTGGATAGGTTGGGGCCTATTCCCCTGCAGTGTAGGAGGCTGAGGGGTGACCTTATAGAGGTTTATAAAATCATGTGGAGCATGGATAGGGTGAATAGACAAGGTCTATTCCCCTGGTGTAGGGGAGTCCAAAACTAGAAGGGCACAGGTTTAAAGTGAGAAGGGAAAGGGACCTAAGAGGCAACTTTTTCATGCAGAGGGTGGTGCGTGTATGGAACGAGCTGCCAGAGGACTTTGGACTGAAGGGTCTGTTTCTGTGCTATACAAATCTGACTCTGTGACTTTGAGAGACGTAATATCTCTTCCTCCTCCGTTACGAAGAGGTGACTCCTGATTTTTAAACAGGGACCCCTCTTGTTTTAGATTCTCCCTCACCTCCCCTCCTGTCAAGGACACCACAGGACTGTGGATGTCTCAACAGCCCTGCCTCTCACTCTTTCTAAACTCAGGTAGTTACCAGGCCAGTCCATCCAACCTTTCCTCATACGATCACCTACACCGTTCAAGGGATTCCACAGCGTGGAAGCATGCCATTCAACCCATCAAGTCCACAACGACACTCCAAACAGCATCCCACTCAGACACAACCCTCTACCTATCCCTGTCATCCTGCATTCCCTATGGCCAATCCACCCTAACTTGCACATCCCTGGGCACTATGGGACAATTTAGCACGGCCAATCCACCCTAACCCGCACATCACTGGGCACTAACGGGGCAATTTAAGCATGGCCAATCCACCTAACCTGCACATCTTTGGACTGTGGGAGGAAACCGGAGCACCCGGAGGAAACCTGCGCAGACACGGGGAGAATGTGCAAACTCCACACGGACAGTCGCCCGAGGGTGGAATCGAACCCGGGTCCCTGGCGCTGTGAGGCAGCAGTGCTAACCACTGAGCCACCACATCTGTCCTGTGCCAATTTAGCAAGCACACGTACTGACATTTCATCCAAGTCATTGATATGAAATCTGAACAGTTGAGGTCCCAGCATGTCAAGTTGTTGTACTCGGTCAACTTGGGAAAAATAGGCATTTTCACCCACTCTGTTCTTCCTGCTGCTGGCCAATATCCAATCAAACACAGAGAATGCTGGAGAAACTCCGTTGCTTGTTGCAATGTCTTTAATCGTAGCTTCTGTTGTTTTATATTGTGTTTTTACAAAGTGGGACTAAAATGAGAAAACGTCAGTTTTGACCCACACTGTGGGCATTGTTTAAAACAAGCAGTTGATTTGCTGACAATTTAATGCCACATGATTGCACTTTTGCTGGTCATGGGCAGTTGATTGATAACTGGTCACTAGTTCATAGACCAATGACAGATACCTTTGTGCATTCCAACAACTGTGTCAAACCTCCTTCTCAGGTAACTGAGCTGCCTGGAGCTGGAAGCAGGTTATGGACTGAGGCAGCAAGAGGGAGTAAGAGAGGGAGAGAAAGTGAGGGAGGGAGGAAGAGAGAGAGAGAGTGACCCTGACTCCAGAACGATCTCTGTTCTCTACATCAAAACTCACTGTAATCCCAAAGAAAACTAGTTTTTATCTTCGCTGCAACACATGTTGTATGTCACACCTTTTAACCGATAAGTCAGAAACCTTTTTAGAAATACACCTAGTGTCCCTCACCAACCAGTGGAAGCATCCGGAGAAAGATGACTGAAGCAATGTGCTGGGCAGCATAAGACTCATAAGGGATCATCCCAATAAGAACACAGAAGACTAAACTGTTTTTCCAGTTTTTTCCCCTCTGTCCATTACCTATTTGCCCTTGTATGCCTGAATATATGTGTGTGTGCGCGCAGAAGGGAAAGTTTATCAAGGAAATTTCAGTTTCAATAAGTAGACGGTTTACAATTATTTACATGCGGTTACAGTCTAATCTCCTGTAATAAATAGTGATTTTAATTTGGTACAAAAAGATGGTCTGTGGTTTCTATTGGTCTCAAAGTCATGGAAATTGGGAAATTTGGCGTACTTTTAAAAATGTTTTACTTTTGCGAGGAGTACGGAAATAGTGGAGCCTGACTTTCACTTCCCTAGTGACCAATTTGAACTACGATAGATGTTAAGCTAACTGGTTTGTAGATTTCCTGCTTTCAGTCTGCCCCTTATTTGAATAACGGAATTACTTTTGCTGTCTTCTAACGGGATCAACCCAAATCGAGGGGGTTTTGGAAAATGAGAAACAATGCATCGACTATCTCGTGAGCTACTTCTGTAACACTCTGGAATGAAGTCCGTCAGAATGTGTCAGCCTGTAATGCCAATAATTTAGTCTTTGGCTTTTGCAATTTCCCCAAAGTGTCTCCTTTCCGACTATTTCCCGATTTATTGCTGCGTCTGGATGTTACTTATATCCTCTAAAGACTGACATAAAACCTTTTCAATTCATCTGTTACTTCCTGAGTTTTCATTATTAATCAAAACCGAAAGAACTGCGGATGCTGTAAATCAGGAACAAAAACAAAGTTGCTGGAAAAGCTCAGCAGATCTGGCAGCATCTATGAAGGAAAAAACAGAGTTAATGTTTCGGGCCTGAGAATGGCAGTCACCTGAATTGTTGAGTTGAATATACATCAGGAACAAAAACAAAGTTGCTGGAAAAGCTCAGCAGGTCTGGCAGCATCTGTGGAGGAGAAAACAGAGTTAACGTTTCGGGTCCGGTGACCCTTCCTCAGAACCTGTTCTGAGGAAGGGTCACCGGACTCGAAACGTTAACTCTGTTTT